TTTTTAAAAAGTTGTTAATTGTATATGAATTTTTGTCATATAAATATACGGAGGCAACACCAGCGTGGAGCATCGTTCGATCTGCACTAGGAAGAGGCCCTTTGTCACTCGCCGGTGTGCTTCCTCACCGGAGAGAGGCAATCCTCCGAGCTCCATCCAGTCCACTCCCCGCGATGGCTCATGGCTCTGTTCCGACTTTCGGCCTCCGCCCCACCCTCTCGAGCTTGCGAGATTACGGAGTGCTCAAAGGCAAGGCCACCTTCCCCCCCTGAGCCGCCGGACCCGCCAGACCAAGCCCCTGCACCGTTGTGCGCGCTCAGCCCTTCCGTCCTCCACCACCGTCTGGCGCCGGTATCACTCCTAGACCAGATCGGCACTGGATCTAGGTGGTGCTCTCGTCGCGTTAATGGCGATGGTCTCGCCCCCCACGGGATCTCCCTCCAATCCCTCCACCGTGAGGAGATCCCGCGCCGCCGCTTACACACCGGCAAAGCCTCTCTCTGTAGAGATCCGCATCCCTCTCCGCCGTGGTGAGTCTTCGGCACAGTGGCTACAACGGCCCACCTGAGTGAAACCGCAATCCCCTTTGCCGTTCAATCGGGTTGTTCGGGTACAGGAATCAATCGGAATTTGCAGCCATCGCCGTCGCCGGAGACTTCTCCGGAATCGCCCCTCCGTCTTCCATCATCGGCCAATGTTGGTAAACGTCTCTCTGTTAGAATTGATACAGATGGGCTTGGCCTGTTTTATTTTTCGAAAACATTGGGCTTGACCCATGAGGAAAATTAGAATTGGGCTAGGTTTAAGTGGGCTATCTTCATTCGGTTGGGTTGGGCCCAGAAAGAATTTAAAGGTTGGGCTATTGAGAATGATAGGCCCATATCCAGTTTATTTAAAATGCAGATTTGTAAAAATTTTATTTGGTTTTGAGCTTGTTTGCTGAAATACAAAGTTTTCTGAATTCTCATATCTTCTAGTTTTTAGTGATTATATCTATTGTGAGAAGACACAAGTTTTCTGGGTTCTCAAACCCTGTAATTTACTATGGAAGAGTCAAATTCCATTTTCTTCCATGTCTTTGAGATTGGTCGAATCCCCGAACATTATGCCGGTTCTTCAAAGTCACAATGTAAAGTGACTACCCTGAGATTCTCCGGCCTTGCCGCGAAGACCCTCTTGATGCATCCGAGATATGTCTTGGATCCGCTGTCCATCTTCTACGATGATCTATTTGTTTTATGTTTTATCGCATTTCAATTATGTTGTATTAATGCGGAAGGATGCTTAATTCCCTCCTATTGTACTATGATCGTTTAAATTAATGAAAAATTTGTTGACAAAAAAAAATATATATATACTTTTTTACACAGTGATTTTGAAAGGGTGTCACACTTTAGACACATTAAAAAAAAACTGGTGAATAAACTATCCAACGGCTATATTTACTTTAAAAAATTAGTTTGGTGGTAAAAATCCGGAAGTACTCCAAAAAAAATACAAATAGTTTACCCGATAACAAGTTATTTTACTTCATATCACGACTATATGTTTTAATCACATGCGGAAAAATATGATTTGGTAACGGTTTTGCCATCACGTATGAAATAGTAAGGACCACACAGACATGGTAATGTTTTCAATTAAGATTAAAAGATTCCTCTATTCAAAAGAATATTATTTCCTTTAGATCATAGCTAGAGTAAGAGGAGGAACAGTCGGAAGAGCAAGGAAAGGACCAGAGCTTCGTCTTGGGGACATAACCATCGTGAAAGAGGCGATTAAGCCGGGAAGTTACTTCGGAGACGAGATTCCTTCGAGCATGGCGATCATAAAATGTCACCAGGACGAAGTCTTGGTGCTGCCGGAAACTGCTAAATTGTTGGCTTATTCCGAAAGGTACGAGGTTGAGATGTTCTCAATTGAAGATCATTTCTTATGTATTCAAGGACATCCTGAATACAACAAAGAGATTCTCTTCGAGATCGTTGATCGTGTTCTTGGTTACATCAAGGTTTGTTATATTTCAATTTCCCTTCTCCTATATTAGCTATTAATTAGCTCACATGGAAAAAAGTAGAAAAGTGCAAATAAGAACTTGGAATTCGTAAACTATGACTCAGATTTTGGATTAAAATATTGGACATTATACCATGTGTGTGTTAGACCACCCTCATTAGACACCCATGAATGTGTGTCTTACCAAATTTTTAAGATTAAATTTAATATAAATTTAAGTAAAGACACTCTACATAATTTGACACTAAAATTGACACTCC